CTCTAATGTATACTCTGCTACATTCGATGGTGTTAGACGCAAGTTAACGGTAAATAGCAACTCTGTTTCTTTCAAGATACTTTCCTGGCAATCGTGGGTCAACAGCCTATATTCTTATGGGAATGTCCCGTCGAGCTGATATTGGATTCGGTTCCTCTCACGAGATGAAGAATCCTAGTCAATTTAAGCGGTTCATATCCTGTCATTTTGACTTCCAACATTCAATGCAAAGGCACCCAGTATCTTGTTAGATTATAACGACAGCGCTCAATCAATCTGTTGCAGTATCGTACCTGATAGTTTTGGGGACATTGTACAATATGAAAATTCAGGCGAGTTTCTTCCCGTTGGACAGACCATATCTCAAGTCGAGTTTCATCTTATCAATTCCCTTACCGGAACAGAAGTATCATTGAATTCTCCTTTAAGTGTCAGATTCGCCATTCTAGACGATGTAGACGATCTCTGACCGCACCTATGTTCCTCTTAAATATTTTGTTTTCTTTATAAAAACTCGTGTTAAATGAGCGAAGATCCAAATCATTCGAGTGCCTCTGCCGATTCTCCTGCCAATACTGAAACGGTACAAGAATCTGTACAAGATTCAATACCGGAGATTCGACCACCTTCACCAAAGCCAGAGTTAAAACCTAAAAAACAAAGAACACCCGCACAGGAAGCGGCTTTAAAGAAAGCCGTCGCCACACGGAAAAAAAACTTGCAAGAATTGTCCGCTATGAAGAAAAAGGAAAACGAAGATAGAAAGATCCAAGAAGCGAAAAAACTTCTTGAAAAGGAGAAACTCGCAAAGAAATTGGCAAAAGAGGAAAAGGCTAAATTAAAGCCGCAAACATTACAAACCGCTAAACGGGCACGTTCAATCAAAGTTCCACCTAATGAACCGACTGCAATTCGGTCAAAACCAAGTCAAGAAACTGAATATGTTGAGTTTGACACCGACTACGACGACGATGATGGCTACGATTATTACGGTGGAATTTATGGCTAGTTTTTTTTTTGTACTTATTAGTAAACATGTCTGTACCTAACAACTGGCTGTTTGCTACGAAAACTTTCTCCCGCCCGTACAGCGATCCTCGTGGCGAAGGGGTTGCAACTTTTTCGCCTTCGGGTCAAAATGTGTATTCTACGAAAACGCGTCAGTTGACACCTATTAGAATCCAATGCGATTCCAATTCTGTCTCGTTCATTTTACAAAAGTTGATTCTTTCGATGGACGTCACGGCTTTGAAGAATAACAGTCCTGTATCTGGGTCTGGAATCGTTAATACTAAACTTGGTATCGAATCTATCATACAATCGCTCACAGTCAAAGCAGGTAACGAAACAGTTGTTCAGATCCCGAATTATCCTGCGTACCTTGTACAGCATACAGAAATATGAGTAAAGGCCATAAACAACTACTTGGAAATCTGACCGGTTATGGTTCCACTGATATGTTCAGCGGAACTGCTACAGCCAGCGTTAGCATGCACCCATGGTTGGGATTTTTTCACCCAACTAACGATCAATTTTTGCCCGTGTGGGCACTTCCGAATCAGGCCATGACCATCGAGTTGGTACTTGCGGATCCCAATACGGTTTTTACAAGTGCTGGAGTAGTTGATGAACTTCAAATCAGCAACATCCGCTGTTTGATTCCGTACGTTACCCCACCTCCATCTATAGTTGTTAATGCTACAAGAGCAATCGCTGATGGTAAAAGTATCTACTATGATTATGTCCGCGCCACTCAAACAGAAAATGCCGCAAGCGGCGGCTTGAGAAATACGTTCAACCTACATATGTCAGGCGTTAGATCCCTTATCGGATTGGAAATGTCATTTATAGACGATGATGTGCTTGCAGATCAAACTAAGGACAAGTCACAATCATTCTCGTCTCAAAATCTAAGAGAATGGCGGCTCCAATTAGGACCAAATGCGACAATTCCAAGCGGTCTAACTGGTTTTACTCACGGGCCTTATGATCGTCAAACGCTTCTTGTTTCCCAACTGAGCAACAACGACTTTGAGCAACTTGCTGATATGGACATCTCATTCAAAGACTATGATACCGCAAATTTCTCGTTTTCTTACGGTTTTGAAGACAAATCCGAAGGCAGCGGTGCTGCTTTGTCATTCACCGGAACCGACTCCATACTTCGAGTACACACCGTACATGCGTCGCCCGCACCTAGTCAACGATGCAGACTTCTCAGCACTTACTTTGAAAATGTCACACTCGCGATCGGGGATGTAGTCAGTGTGGTATAATTAGCATAACCTCCATCTCTATCAAGCAAATCCCGACTTGTTTCAACGATTCAAATGGCACCTGGTTGTTCTCCGATTGGTGACAACGTGAAATAAGTTATACGACTTTTACACGTTGTCACCAATCGGAGAACAAGAATGTTCAGTTTGGAAAAAGACGGAAAAATAAATGACGCCTCCCCCCTGTCAAAGCGCGTTTACGTAATATCGCCAACTACATTCCTTTGGAACCACCGATTTCCACAAGAATGTCCAAACATAAAAACTCTTCAACAAAATGGCTCTCGCCATTCATGAAGCAAACATCGACCCAACTTATTTCATTATCAATCCTGATGTCGGAGACGGGTTTCTCAAGACCTGCATTGCTTTGCATCACATACTGGATGCGAAATTATACAAGGTTTCGTATCCTGCAGCGGACGATTATTTGAAAGCGAGATGGAAACTTTCGAGAGCGGCCGGTTACAACTTTTCCCGCGCCGGACGAATTATTATTCAAATGGGGAAAACACTCGGTCGGGACAAAATGCCCTGCGCTATCGGGCTTTATCTCATGTTGGATAAACTTCACAAAGAGCGAAATTTGACTCATGTTGAGATATGGAGAAAGGCGGTTCAATACTTTGGCTCTCGTCAAATGGTCATTGCGGTCAAAATGGATGAAATATTTGAAGACCTACCACCCGATTCCGCCATTGACCTTTCGGGCGAACCCGGTCTCCAGTTGGACGATACCACTCGCACAGAGATAGATGAAGAGATAGATGAAGATACAGAGATTGAAGATGTGATCGAAAATGAAAGGGATACGAACGAAGTAGATTGGAGTTCCCGATTAAGAAAGCGAAAAGAGGTTACTCAAGACACCTCAGACGAAGATGATTCGGAGACTACCAAACGACCGAATATTCCGATATCTACTGGATTTGGAAGATCCGAAAACGAGTATATTACGCCCCAATATCTGGTGAATCTGATCACCAAATTTTGTGGCGAAATTGATCTTGATCCGTGCTGGAATCCCGAGTCAAAGATCATTGCAAAAACCGTATACGGTGAACAAGTCGACGGAACATTTGTCAACGCTTTGACGTTGTCTGATTGGACAAAAAGCAATTGGGTTTATCTTAATGCACCTGGTGCTGCAATCGACGCTCTACAACATGGTCCGAAAACTTCTGCGAAAAGACCTTACCTCCATAACGACTTTTGGGAAAAGACAATGTTGGAAATGAAAAAGGGAAACATCAAACGGATCATTGCAATCATTCCGAATTGTCCATACCGGAAATGGTGCAGGTTCGCCCTCGCACGGGGACTTTGTTGCCACCTTACGAGAAAAGTCCCGTGGGATAAAACGGCCGCTGCAAAGGTTCGAATGGACGACATGCGATTTTCGGCAAAGAATTCACATATCTCGAACGATGTCTATTCACGCACGATCGTGTATATTGACTCGGATGCAGATTATCCACATACAGATAAATTCATCGAGGTCTTTCGAACCCATGGATTTATTCCCGGATTAAATACGCGCATACCAAGGATTCTGGAGATTTCCGAGAAAAGACCATTGCGGTACTTTTCTGCCTTTGCTGGAATCGGTGGTGCCGAAATGGCATTAAGAAAAATCTTTCCCGAAGCCATTTGCGTTGGCTTTTGCGAGACAGATAAAGACGCTTTAAAAGTTTATGTTGAGCATCATCCTCGACATAAAAACTTTGGAGACATCACCAAAATCAAAACAAATACCATACCGGATTTTGACCTGTTAATCGGAGGTCCTCCGTGTCAACCTTTTTCGCTTGCCAATCCGGGAAAAACTAAATTCACCGATCCTCGGGCGGATTTGTATACACAATTCGTCAGAATCCGCAACGACTGTCAACCCCAATATGTGATTATGGAAAACGTTCCTATGGATTCAGCAAGCATTGCGGAGATCTCGAAAGGACTTTTGTCTACGACGGTGCAAAAACTCAATGCCGCGTCGTTTTGTGCACAAAATCGAATCCGTTTATACTGGACAAATTTCTTTGTTCCGGAACCTTTGGATGTGCCTTCGCCGACAATTGACAGTATAGTAGAACCCAATCATTCCGGAAAGTCGCTCCATTGGAAATGCTTCAAACAACCTCCTCCCCCAGATCTCATTGCCGCGTTCAACAAGGACACGGTGGAGCAAACAGTGAAATTTCGGGACGATGGAAAAAGTAACACCATCATAGCGACCGAGTGTTATGAATTGGCTATCGCTGCAAATGGAGTATTCAGGCTTTTGACCTGCTCGGAACGCGAGAAGTTACAAGGGTTTCCCGTGGGATACACCGCATTTGTCCCTGATAAAAGTAGAAAGCGATTACTTGGAAACGCTATGAACGTACCTACAATCGAGTACATCCTAAAGCACATCCCCTAACACTTCATTCGATCGTCCCACCTTGTACTTTGTCTAAGAAATCCTGACCTTGTCTATTAATCTCATCGAGTCTGTGAATCCCCTTTGTTGCAGTGGAATCCACTCGACGCGAAGTTTCTTTGATCTTCTCGTTGAAGAGTGGAGATTCTTGCACAGCATTGTTAACATTTGTGATGAATTTTGCGCTTTTATGTCCCACCTTCACAGCGTTGTTTGCAAATGAACGCGCCTTGTGATAATAACTTGGAGCATTGGTTATAAAAGTATTCGCTTTTTTTTTCAGATTGTTCAAGAAATTTGCCATGTCTGTTATTGTACATAGGCACAGAATTAAATTTGATGCCTTTAGGTAAATGGCATTCTATAAAGCAAACGTGCTGGAATTCCAAGGGATCAACAGGTCAAAAGGAATCCCGAATCTCCAGCGTCACCAAATCGGACGAGCCCTTGACTATAATAATCTAGATGAGAATGGAAGGCCAGATGTCATTTATTCTTGGAATAGAAACATCCACGACAAAGATCTTGCAACCAAAACACATTATGTCAAACCAGTTTATGAAGAGCGTGTTTCCAGCGCCGAAATCCTCCGGTTATCTGCAAAACAGCACTATACCCAAGCATACAAAGATGGTCTAGAATATATCAAAGCCGAGAAGGACTATCGCGCTAAAGAACGCTATCTGGATAGCATCACACCATCTCGGCGAAACAAGACCGTCACAATTGGGACAAGCACATCGACGAGTGGCCTTCCCGTCCCCGACACGGAAGGTAGGGTGTATAACTATGATGCGCAAACAACTGCGCAAACCGGCTTGATGTTTGAAGCACCGGCTAACCTACATGAAGTCCCAGATTTGCCAAAGAATGTGTCCGGTCAACGTGTCCACCCAGTTATAATCACGCACGAAAAAGAGATCGTTGTTGATAACCTTACTGGAGCAGCCCAAGTCAAAACCGGAAGTTCATCTGTTCTTAAAGCACCTGTTGTAAGCAATTCTCTTGATTATCAAGAGCCAATGATGCCCGGATCGTTTCCTAATATGATCGGAAAAGATGAAGTTAAAATTGAAAATAACATACCTCCGGAGATCAATATTGGGAATGAAAGAGCAGAAAACAAACCAGAAATCGCTTTGACCACCATCAGCGACCCGAATAAGGTTGAGGAACTCTTATCAAAAACACAAGTTACGAGTAATCTCGTTCGAACCCCTGGAAAGACGCCTATTGGAAATGTGAGGAAAGATCGTCGTTTTGATCCGACCAAACGAAGAATAAAGAACAGATTAGAAGACTCACTATTGCAATCCACACTTAACAAGCAGGAATTGGTAGGATTTTCTGATGGAATTAACATTGAGGTACACGATGATGGCGCAGCAAGACGGAGATTGTCCGCACTCGCTAAAGATAACACAATCCCATCACCAAGACCCCAAGCCCGAATCGGTGCTCGCACTGATGAGTTAGCCATTAATCCCGCTGTTAAACGAAAAGCGGAGGTTTCTCTAAGAAAGGAACCGTCATCAAAGCGACGAAAGATTGATGATGCAGACGAAATTCAATTAATAGATCCAAAAGTTTTGGAACGATCTAGAATGCATCGAATAGTTCAAGCAAATGTTGGAGTTGAGACCATTGTTGATCCAGTGGCTTCCCGTGTTAAGAAACAAGAAAAAGCCTCATTCTTGCGTCCTATCGCAAATCTACGCGGAAAGGAAAGAATCGATTATGCGATACCTCCAACATTTACCGTCGCGGATGTTGAACCTACTGTAAGCATCCGAAAACGCCCTACAAAAACGCAACAAATGCCCACTCGACCTGTCAAAAAGGTCAGAATTGACTGAATTTATGGATTTACATTCAGTGACATAACGCGTTTCAAGTTGTCATAAACGGGATTGCTAAAATGCAACTTAAATAGATACGTTTCTGATGGTCTAATTGCAATGAAAAGCAAAGAAACGATGCGTCCGTACTATCCGAAAAGAAACCCCGCAGGTCAAATCATATATCCGCTGGGAACTCGTAAGTGTAAAATGGATAATTGCACAACCACGATTCCGTTCATCAAACACCGACCGTATTGTTATGAATGTTATTTGAAGAAAAAGGAACCGGTCGATTTCAAGTTGGATGCTGATAGCGACTAAGCAATCTTCCGAAAGTAACTCCCCACTGATTCTTGATTGTTCTTCCTCCTTTTCCACCTTTTATCTGATATCGTACATGCCATTGCGTACGCTTGTTTAGAAGAAGTCACTTGTAATTCTACACCCCCTTTCCCTTTGTATGTCAATTCACCTTTATCAAATTTTTCAAGAATCTCATCCATTATCTCCTTCTTGAAAAGTTCGGCCGAAACCTCCTCTTCGTTTATATTGTGTTTTCTGTAGAATTCGTCCATTTATTGTTGTGAGATAAAGTGTTTTACGCCATTTAACCGCGAGCCCCAATCGTTCTCCGATTGGTGACAAAGTGAAATAAGTTATACGACTTTTACACTTTGTCACCTTGCGGAGAACAATGCTTCTCACACGTTTCTCGTTGGAAAAAAAAGGAAAAATAAATGACGCCTCCCATTTGGACTCCATATAGTCGTATTGACAGCCAAACCGAAAATCTAATGGTGCGGTGTAGGGAGGCGTCATTTATTTTTCCGTTTTTTTCCAAACTGAACATTCTTGTTCTCCGATTGGTGACAACGTGTAAAAGTCGTATAACTTATTTCACTTTGTCACCAATCGGAGAACAACTCGATCCTTGAAATTGAAACTATTACGACAGTAACTATTCGATTGAGATGGAGAACGTCAGAAATGATATTTGATTGTCGAATGGATGTAGACAGGTAAAGTTTATTTAAGCAGAAAAATTATGTATCTGTTAAACATCCAATTCACACACAATGGATATTGCAAATTACACCAAAATCAATAAGTATGGTCTATCATTCTACACCAATAGGAACACAGCGAAAAAGGTTATGGAAACGTTGATGGAGAGATGTGGGCCTGAGCAATGCCTCGTTGCCCATGTTTGAGATTATGAAGCAAAGGGAAAAAAGGAAGGTGAGATGGTGAAGAAAAAGTACTGCCAATATGCGATCGTAGAATGCTCTAAACTGGAGGATTTGCTGAAAGATGACAAAGGACTATTTGAAGTTATGCATCCTGATAGAATGATGAAACTAATGTTTGATATTGATTATACGGGAAATCTTTGGAATGATCCTATTAAGAAGGTAAAAAAAAGGATTCGATCGATTCTTCCGAATGCTTCCATGAATATTTCGGGAAGTGTGGGGGAAAAGGGCGATACTCTGAAATTCTCATATCACATTGTTGTGAATAACTACCACGTTCTGAATGTGGGCGAACTTGACCCGATTAAGCAGTTTTGTGCCATGTATAAGGAACTTGGATTTGACATGAATATCTACAGAGCGAACGGCTTGATGAAATATGTAAACCAATCCAAAGGTGACGGACGAGTCCAGGAGATAATAGAAGGTTCTGATAACATTTTGGATCACACGATCATGCATGGTATTCCAAAGGACAGCATCCACGTAAAGAATGTTTCCGAACTTCAAAACTTTCTATCGACCGGGGCTCCAGCGCTCCGGAAGAGAACACGAGAAAATGACGAGGGCTCGGTACAAGCGAGAAAAGGTCGCTACTATCCGGGTCAAATACCGAGAATGAACTTGGAACCTCCGGAAACCCTAGATATCTATAGAGGGGATCCGCTGCATTTTCTAGCGCACATGCCAAACCCTAAACGTGGGGATACGTTTGAATTGTCCAACTGGTTATGCAGTGAGATCGGTCGTTGGTGTAAGATGGCAGGTATCACCTTTGCGTCGTTTTGGGAGTGGAATTCGAAAAAGGATAGCACTCCGCAACGCAAAGCAAAATATATAGACTTTTGGAATCGGGTGGATGTACAGTCGAAGCCCATTTCGGAGAACTTCATGAAAGCGTGTTTGGTTGCTGTTTATAACGGAAACATTCTAAAGTCGACGCCATACAAAGTAATGGAAAATGCGATAAACAAAGAGTTCAATCATCGCATTGACTCAAGATGGTTATCCTCAGCGGATCTTCACTTGGGTGACAATTATAAACACATTGTATTGCATGTTTCGCTCGGCGGTAACAAAAGTGGAAGTACCATTGATTATCTCAAAGAATTATTGGAGGGGGACAAAGAATTGACAGCGCTTTGGACAACATGTAGAATTGCGTTGACAAATGAACAAAGAGGAAGAATGGAAAAAACAGGCATCACCCAATGGAAATATTATCTGGATTACAGACCCGATGAGAAACAAAATCCAGTGCATCATCCCTATCTCGTATGTTCCATTCAGTCGATCTACTTAGCAAGGGGAGTTTACGATATAATTGTCATTGATGAGTGCGAAACGTTATTGCGAAGTTTTGCGGACGATGCAAAATGCCATGGTAACCCATCTCAACATTGGAAGAATTTCATGCGCCTGTTGGCGTCAGCAAAGAAGGTAATTTGGATGGACGGGTTTCTTACTAGAGCGACAACCGATTTGATTCGAGACATTGGAGGTGAAAGTTTCATTATTGGATCGAGTGTTCCTCCTCCGCAACGAGAGATCAAGTATTGCAAAGAAATAGAAGATCTTTATGCGAAAATGTTCAACAGTCTGGATAAAGGGGAAAAGATCTTTATCGCATCGGGAGCAAAAGGTTCCCGAAAGGTTCATTCCGCATTTGATGGGGTGGAAAACATTGTTTCGACGCTAATGGCAAAATACAAATGGAAACGTGGAACAGAAATAATTGGTATCCACGCGGATCGCAAAAAAGACAAGGAGAATCTGAGAAATATTGAGGAGGTATGGGGAAATCCGGCTGTGCGAGTGGTGGTTGGAAACGCTGCTTTAGCGGTGGGCGTGAATTATGATGTAAAAGAAGGGATGCGCCCGTTTGACCGGGTTTTTGGCATTTTCAATCCGGCTTGTATATCGTACCGGGACTTTTTCCAATTACTGGCAAGAATTCGGAGGCCACTTTCGAATGAGATATGGATTCTGTTTACGGAACCTTTCATGAAGGCAGTAAAGCAGGATCGACTGATTGTTTCACAATCCGATGGATTTCGTACCTTAGCCGCGCATATGGATTCAGAGAGTTTCGCGGATAAACATCACAAATCGGCACAGGATCTGTTCAAATTGTATGCAGATCTATGTAACATCAAACTATGCAGCAAAACATGCTTTGCATTGGAAAAGGATGCACGTCATTTAATAAGCGCCTGTTTCGACAGTCGATTCAATATGTTCTCATGGCATAACATTAAGGATATCTCAGGAGAAGAGTGTGAGAGACTTGAAAGATTGATCGAAGCCCTCCAAGCAGATGTCGATCAGATTCTTCAAGTTAAAAAATTCAGATTCAGAAATCTATTTAGAAGTGTGGTTACTGAAAACCTTGTTGAAATCTACTGGGACACGTACAGGGATACCGTCTACGCAGTAAATAACTTTGGCAGGTTAGAACGAGGTCAAGAACTGTATCACGACATAAAATGCGCCCCAATAGTCCACAAGTTTTACAAGGACAATAATCTAACAATCGAAGGGGAAATCAGACCAGAGCATGTCTGTAACTCACCTTTTGGAGACATACAAAGATCTTTTAAAATGTTTCACCGACCGAAAACGTACAGAATGGACCTATACGCAAAGATCATCAATGCTTATTTTTGTGCACCAATTATTGTTAAAACGAAAGAGAAACGTAAGAATAAGAAACGGTACACATGGGACACAAATGGATTGTTACTTGGTAAGATAGCAGAAGCGTTGCTATCATTCGAAGAGTTCGATATCTTGAATTGCGATTAAGTCCTTATATAATGCTTTAATTAAAAAAACATTCGTCGTTCTCCGACGGGTGACAAAGTGAAATTAGTTATACAACTTTTACATGTTGTCACCTTGCGGAGAACACGAATTTTCGGTTGGAAAAAAAAGTGAAAAAATAAATGACGCCTCCAATAATGTTCAACATCTTATTTTGTAATGCATTGAATATAACAGAATGTCTGGATTAAACAGCAGAAATTCGAGCGGTTTGCGAAATTTAAACGATACGCTGTTGAACAGCCCGTATGTTTCCGGAAATATGAAAGCCCTTAGTGGAGACACAAAACTCTCCGGATTTCATTCAGCCGAGGTGAAGACGCTCTACAACCAAAATGGTGAATTAAAAATCAACGACCTTGTTGACAGCGAAGATGCTATTATTTACAAGACCAACGGAATTGCATCTGTTGAAGTAATCCCTTACAACATGGAATTTCCGCTCGAAAGGAACGATGAAAGCAGAACTGTTTCCCTTGTAACAAACCTGCCTCTTGGAGTAAATGAAAACGGTCTCAATTTGTTCCACGATCAGACCCTTTCAGTGAGCGACGAAGGTTTGACTGTTAACTTTCCCCCAACGGATCTAGAAGATCTTCAAGAACCCTTGTCAAGAGACGATGAAGGGCTTAAATTGAATTTTGATGATTCATTGGAGGTGAGTAATGGTAAGTTGGCAGTTGTCAAAGAGCCTTTGACAGCCCCGTTGACGCGTGACATCAGCGGAGTCTCTTTGGACTTTGATTCGACCTTGACAGTTGTGAACGGGCAACTTTCGGTCGTTAAGGAGAACATCGAAGCGACTGTTGACGAAATAGTGAAGGTAGCAGAACCGCTTTCGAAAGATGCAGACAAGGTAATTCATCTTGATTATGGAAAAGGTTTGAAACTCAGCGATGAAAGCAAACTTGAGACGGATATTGATACAGTGATAGTTGGACGGGGGGCGATTAGCAACGACAAGGCAGGATCTTTAGCACTCGATGACCTTCTAGAGACCGGTTTCGATTCTCTAGCGGACTTTTTGGGATCAGAAACTGATGTTGATACAACCGTTGTGCGTTTGAAGACATCTGATGATTTCCAACAAACAGGAGGAAAATTGGCTATCCGCTCGAAAGGTATGGGACAGGTTCCATTCTACTCTGCTTTAAGCGGATTCAATGGAGACAGTAGTTTTACGTATAATGAAACACTCAATGAATTACATGTTCCCCATATATACGTTACAAGCAACTTCAACCC